TTGGGGTCACCGCTCTGTGCTCCAGCTGACGGGACGGGGCACTGGGCTGATTTACACCAGCTGAGGATCTGGCCCCCTGAGTAGGGTTACCATATTTTAAGTGTCCAAAAAGAGGACACTCCACAGGGCCCTGGCCCCGCCCCAACTCCGCCCCTTCCCTGCCCCGCCCCTTCCCTGCCCCGCCCCAACTCCGCTGTTTCCCGCGAACATTTGATTCGCGGGAAGCCTGAAGCAGGCAGGCAGCAGGCAAGCTGGGGCTGGGGCAGGGGGGCGCAGCCCAGTCCAGCCCCCCCCCGGCTCAGCGGCTCCCTCTGGCAGCCGGCCGGCCCAGGCCAAGAGGCTCTGGCCCCGGCGTCTCTCACCCGGCTCGGGCCCTGGGGCACCGGTCCCCGGCCCCACACTGCCAACCCTGTCGGCCCCAGCCGAGCACCGCCGGCCCCTCCCTCCCTATTTTCCTGGACATGTCTGGCTTTTTTGGGATTTCCTCCCAGACGGGGATTTGAGGCCCAAAAAGCCGGACATGTCTGGGAAAATCTGGATGTATGGTAACCCTACCCCTGAGGGCAGAATCAGGCCCCAACGTTGCCAGTGAAATTTGTGCCCCCGACACTTCTGTCCCGCAGCGTTTCCCCCGAGTCTGCGCCGGTCCGCCGATGCTCTTTGGGAGGTTTCCAGGGGCGCTCCCAGGAATGGCAGAGTCGGGTGGGATCGGAGGGTGAGGGGTCGATGAGGTGCCCAGAAACGGACGCAGATGCACCGCTGGGCTGGGGGTCCAGATGCACAAAGGTCCGTAAGCGCTGCAGGGCTCAGGTTATAGCCTTTAGCCCACTGGCTCGGGCACTCACCAAGGACGTGGGGCACCCGGGGGTTCAATCCCCCCCTCTGCCTTATGGGGAAACAGGACTTGAACCTCCCAGGTGAGTGCCCAGCCATGGGGCTGGGGAGATCCTGGGGCAGGGCTCTCTCACTCTCAAAGCTATTCCACTCTGCATGAATAATTAAACAGGCATTAGAGCAGGGGGACGGGAGACCCCCCAGCTCCATTTCAGCAGTACAACCCCCGCGCCAGCTAGTCCCCAGTTTGTAGTTGTGCAGCGCTGCAGGCGCTGATTACACTGACGCTTTACAGCGCTGCACGTCGGGGGGGGGGGGGGGGTTTTCGTTCACCCCCCGAGCGCAGCAAGTGCAGCGCTGTGAATTGCCAGTGTAGCCAAGGCCTAAGATGACTGTAAATGATACAGTAACAGAGAGATAACACATTGCCTTCTAAGTACAAGATTCTTCTGATATCCTTCCTCCAGTTTAGTAGCACCTCATTCCCCGAGTAGTCGCACTAGTCCTAGAGGAAGGTACTAGTCCATGTATGTAAGGACAGCAGAATTTGGATCCAAGCTTATATAAGGTGAAAGCCGGCATGTATTTTAGCGAGATCGTAGAGATAGTTGCTGCCTTGTTCTCTGTTTTTATAAAACCTACAAACTAGCTCGATATAACGCTGTCCTCGGGAGCCAAAAAAAATCTCACTGCGTTATATCGAACTTGCTTTGATCCGCCGGAGCGCGCAGCCTCCCTGGAGCACGGCTTTACTGTGTTATATCCGAGTTTGTGTTATATCGGGTAGCGTTATATCAGGGTAGACGTGTATATTTAAATTTTATATGTCTCTGCCGCATTCAGGACACCAGCACAGGTACCGGAGCAGGATGTGCGGGTGGGGAATTTTCCACTGAGCCTACAGTAATAGCGTGTATACTGCTGACCCTGGGAAAATCCCCTGGCGAAAATCCAATTTGCAAAATGCCATTTTTCAAAGCAGAAATGGGGCCGTCTACAAAAGGCAGAAAGGACGGGATGGAAGTGAAAAAAGAATGAGTGTGATTGGGGCTGTAAATCCATATATGTGGGTCAAGATGGTCAAAAATGGGTGCCGAAATTTAGGCTCCAAATTCCATATTAAAGCCCCTAAACAAGTGACCTAATTTTCAAAGATGACAAACAGCCATCAGCTCCCACTGAAATCAACCACCATCTCTGTTGGGAATACTCATGAACCAAGCTGCCCACCCCAACTTGTCTCTCTCCTTCTATCGCATCCAGTGTTTCGGCCTGTCTCATTATCTGCTTAAACGTAACGTGGACAAAGCCGAATGACTCATCTTTCCTCCCAAACCCTCTCCATTTTGCTCCTTCTCCGCTAGTCTTGACAAAACTACCATTTTCTGTCAGTCGGGCCCACATTATTGGGGTTATCATAGAATATCAGAGTTGGAAGGGACCTCAAGAGGTCATCTAGTCCAACCCCCTGCTCAAAGCAGGACCAATTCCCAGCTAAATCATCCCAGCCAGGGCTTTGTCAAGCCGGGCCTTAAAAAACCTCCAAGGAAGGAGACTCCACCACCTCCCTAGGTAACGCATTCCAGTGTTTCACCACCCTCCTAGTGAATAGTTTTTCCT